GTTTCCCATGGGGGAAATAGTATATGAGATATGTTCTGACATTTCCCACATTCTAATCTGCCTTTGCTTATTTATCTTTCAGATTGATCTGGGCTAAAGCATCTAGAGACCCTAGGACTGCTTCAGGTCAGCAGTCTCCACTGGAGAAAAAAAATATTGGTAAATAAATTATCTTCACATCATAGTTTGGAACTACTAAGAGAAGGATTGTTAGGTTTAAAATTCTTCTGCTGAAGCTACACTCTCCAGTAGTGTGTCTACACCGGCAAATGTTATCTGTACTTGCAAAACGAGGTATTATTTTGAAAACTCCCAACACTCTATTTTTAAAAAGCTAGTTATTGATTTTGGTGGTGGGTACATCAACTTTCACAGCTCACTGGCTCATCTAGGAATGATGAGAGTAAAATCACAGTTATAACACCAAAGTAAATAAAAGACCACACATCTTTTCTTGGTAAGCTCAGGTAAGCTCCTGTTTAAATGTTCAAAATAAAATGATGGTCACCTTATAAAACTCTGTGCCTCACTCTGATAGAATCTAGGTGGCATGTATACAAAAGCAGCAAGACAACTGATATCTCAAAAATATCGGGAAGAATATGAATCACTTTGTAGGGAGCAAGATCTTTCTCTTGACTACTGGCTTGCCAAAGCGGAGTCTTACTATAATAAAAGATTAGTGGAAATGATGAAAGAACAAGACACAGGCAATGCAATCAAGAAGAAGTTGGAGGGAAAAACAACCCAAAGCATAGAGAGACAAAAATAGTACTATTTGGTACCTGATAGAGATGAAACACATAGAGAGGCACATATATCGAGCAGGACAGGTCAGAGAATTTAAAAAGAAAATGTTTAAACAATTACTATGGTCCCATAGTGAAACAACAATCCCAAAAATTGTGCTGGAAGAGCACAGTGTCCAGAAGGCACAGAGAGGAAAACAGGTAAATGAGAGACAACAGATACAAATTAAAGATCATCAGGAATGCATGATTAGGAGAGAACTTGTAGAGCAAAGACTCAAGGAAAGACTTGAGAAAAGGCCAGAGCCAGCCACCTACACAGGAGAAGCATGAGAGAGTTAACAAAGAGATAAAAGAGTTTGAAAGTGTTATTGCATATCCACTTTTCCAGCCACACAGTGGAAGTCAGGTTAAAGTGAATATTCTTATGGAAAAGTCTCAAAATAAAGAAGAGAATACAATTATAAAACCATATCAAAGAAAATTCTTAACTATGCCACGCTTTTTGAGGAGTCAAATAGGAAAAATAAAAGATTGGTAATATTTCAATGCTTTTATGATAAAATCATGTCTCTTAAACAAACCCTTTTAATTTTTTTAATGCTAGTTCTCATCTCTCCCCAGAGTTCAGTGAACTCCATTTGTATCAGATACGTAAATACCAGATAGTTCTGGACTTGAAAACTAGCTTAGCTATTTTTAGTTGCCTTGTATTTAAGTTGCTTATTTCTTCGATGTTCAGTTTCCTCATCTGTAAAGTGAGATTAAAGCATTACGTAGCATTTATAGGAGGATTATGATTTCTGTGAAGTGTTAGCATATATTAGATATATTAGATGTTACATAAATGTTAGTTTTCCCACTTGGGAAGACCTGGCTTGGGCAGTGATAGTGAATAAGGAATTGTTCTCATCTGTCTCTCCCATCCCTCTGCTCCCAACTCTGGAAGGCTGTCTTGATGAGATTGCTATAGGTAAGTATGTGATCTTTCACTTCCCATTCATACTTTTATCAGGGAACTATTAACCATGCCCTGAAAGTTTAACTTGCACTGTGCAATTTATTTGTATGAGAAGCTTAATTCTGAGAACCTCCTATGTGCCAAGCATTGTTAGTTACTGGGAGTGAATAAAGAGAAGTCCCTGCTCTTGAATAGGTTATAACTAATGGCATAGATCATTCTCTAAACAAGTAACAAAATGTGGTAAGGATTATGGCAGAGGAGTTGTACAGAAGCGAGTCACCTAACCTGGCCTACGTGAGCAGGGTAAGGAGGAATAAGGTCAGAGAAGGGAGTGTAGTAGTCTCATGTTTCTTCCAACTCCGTATTTTGTCACTTTCTATCACCTACTTAAGATGTTTCCAATGTTTGAATCTACTCAGAGGTAGATTCACTCACCTTCTCTAAAACAGATGTTGTCCAACACTCACTGATAAATCAAAAAGCAAATTTATGAATTTAGTGAGACTTTTAATCCCCAAGCAGAATGAAATTTATTGTTTTCCATTCAGTTCATTTTCTTTTCAAATACCAGAAAGTTGGGAAGG